CTTACAGTTAGTTATTGGCGTGTGGGTGCTGGGAATGGAACCCATCTCTGAAAGAGCAAACTCTGATCCTAACTGCTGACCCATCTCTCCAGCTCATTAAATGAAATCGTAACAAAAATGTTGCAACTAAATTCCACCTGATTCTCTATATAACTTCTCTTGTTTGTGTGTGTGGCATGAAGATGATCTTGGTACAGCTAGTCTGAAACTTGCTATGTAGACCAGGCTGACTTGGAATGTGTAGCGATCTTCCTGCCTGGGTTTTCTGAGTGCCCAGATTGCAGCCATGTGCCACAACTCCCAGCTGTTATCCATGATATATGAATAAAAGGTCTTAAATTCAGTAAATCATACAAATATGTACTTTACCTACATAACATCAAATCATGTGGATATTCCAAATATTAGTTCTATCAAAGTACTGATTTTCACACTAACACTTAAATGTTATGTATTCTGTCTATAATGCAAACTATATAGAACTGGTAATATTTTAAGTCAGCCAATCTTTAGTCTTAAGACAAAAAGAAAAGGAGAAACTAGCCTGCCCATGGATATTCCACATACCCATGTTAACATTCCACACTCAGTCTTCAATCGCAACACTTCGAAAACAGCTGGTGAGGTTAAAGTTTATTTAGTGTTTTACATTTGACCTTACTGTCTTGTGAGACATTTCTGTTCTTTCAAATGTGGATTTGGTACACAACTAGGAGCCAATTTGTTTATGCCTACATTTTGGCAGATTTCAATATGTAGTTTTTTTCTTAATAGCTAACCTAGTTAGATCATTTGATTGATAAAGCATGTAGTATGACAAAGGAAAAATGTATATATAAGTTATAAAAAAAATCTGACACTAAGTGGAAAAAAAATCACATAGAAATGAAATATGGAAGAAGCCACCAGGTGCCTAAGAATTGGCCAGGCTGGCACTTTCATATACAGTCTTGTTAAGTGAGCCTGACATGTTTCCTGGGTGGGCAGGGGTGTCACATCCTTTAAAATAGCTTATATAGTCCAACGACTGCATTGCTTCTCAATGTACTGTTTCTTTTAAAAACTTTGCTCAATATTTTAAAGATATTGTAGCTTTCTAAACTTGGAATGCAGGGCTAGTCATTAGCCCTTTTATCTGCTGGAAAACGGGTGAATCCCTGAGCTGTGAAATGTGAGAGAGCACAGACATGAAAGACAAGCAGAGATTTTGTTTTCTTATTTTCATCCCAATGCTCTTTCTGAAAAACATAAAGGCATGGGACTGATGGCAATCTTATAAAGGAAATCAACTGCAGCCCTGAGCTGCAATTCAACAGTAATACAAATATGTGAAAGGGAGCACAGGCAGATAATTTTCAGAAAATAGTGATGTCAAGTCAAAGTAAACACGTTTAGGAGACGCTTCTAAGGACCACATTTGACAGGCTGCTTGTGAGGAGAGTAAGCACAGTGCTAATGTTCAAGGGATCATATGTAGACCACTGTGTCCTGTTCAAAATGGAATGGGCTATAACCCATGTAATACCAATGCTTCTGTCTCTTTAAATGCAAATGCACAGCACATCCATGATATTTAAAGATGTGTATGTGTGTTTGTGTGCCTGTGTGTGTGTTTGTATGCCCACACGCGTGCGCATGCACACACAAATTGAGAGATTCCTGCGGAGGCCAGAGAATGTGTCCGATTCCATGGAGCTGGATTACAGCCTTCTGTGAGCCTCCATGTGGGTGCTAGGAACTGAAGCCCTTGAAAAGGTGGCATGTGTTCTTAACTGCTGAGCCGTCCCTCTAGACCTCAGCCATATTTAAAGTCTCAGAACTTGTACTTAGTTTGATCTCGTCAAAATAAGCTCTAATAGGACTGCTGAAAAAAAAATGTATTTAACAAAGAAATCAATCTCAACCTCACTTTGTAAGTAAAAACCATTATAATTCAGCACAGTAACATGATACACAAGCTTGTCTGTTTTAGGCCGCTACATTCTGTTGGTGTATGTGTATATGAACATAAATATTCAAATGTGAATACACATATCCACACATGAATACTCATGCTAACACATAGAAAACAAGTGACAGCACATGACTCTTCCAAGATGTTTGAAATGGCTCATTTTCTGGTTTTGAAAAAACAAGAGGAGGAAGAGGAACAGGAAAGAGGCGAGATGGCTGCAGATGTATACCCTCGTGTCTCTAGGAGTCTCAGCATTGTCTTGTGATCATACCAAGAGGCTATTACCAAAGGCATGCACACAAGTGTATTTTCAGAAAGAAATAACACAAAGATTTGGACTTAGTGGTCTTTGGACCTACATAGAAAGCAGTTCCGGGAATGCAGAGGTGGCAGTGAGGAGCTTGAAATATGTGATTATAAAAATGAACTGCTGGCAAAACACATCTATCTGTTTCATTACTGAAAAGAATAAAGAAGTTCAAGCCATTCCTCAGAGAACTCTGTCTGGGTTACTCCCATTTTTACAGTTGAAGGCTTCTCTAGGAAAATTTTTACAAGTTTTGAAATGCAACTCTGTCCTACAGAGAAATACAAAAACATTAAACAGAGACATTTGGGTGAATAAATCCACTTCCATGAAATATTTATCAAGTAGTATGGGATTAGACAGTACTTCAATACTTTAAGAACAAGGGAGATTTTGGAGAAGAGAAAAAAATTACTGAATATCAAAAATGTGAAAGATATTTCTCTAAACATTTATTACAGCTCCCTCAACAGTTAAATCTACTTTGTGACAAGTTCTACCATTTAGATCAACATAAGAAAATGGCCATGTATGCAGGGAAACTTGGAACATACCATGTGGGAGGTCCTTGTGGAAACTCAAACAGATTAAATGATACTAACATAGGCTATATTAAGAACTCTTTTCTGAAGTATTACCAAAACAATCAACATGGAGGGATTTTATACCAATGCAATTTCATGATTCTTTTCACGAAACAATTCCAGGTAAAAATGAGGTAAGTGTACTCTGGAAAATCTCTACAACCATGGTAGTGGACAGGCCATCTCTGCTCTTGGTCACCTTCGCAACAGCAGGACACACCACAGAGAAGCTTCATACAGATGACTGGAAGCGTGACCTCTTAAACGAATCCTTAATTCTTCAGGTTTATAATGGAACATGGACTAAAGGAGAAGCCAACAGATACACATGCATGTGATGCATACAGGAATGCCTTAATTGAATCATTATACTTACGGGAGAGACAATATGAAACATATCAAAAAACAACATTTCCAGACCCCAGGATATGATAAGGCCTTGAATCTCAATTGAAATATCATTCAATATGATTCAAGCCATAATGGAGAGGGAACTCAGAAAGCCAAAGTTCGTATGTATGGTTATTCCAATGTATCAAATCTCTTGAGACATTCAAATTTATCAGATGAAGAAAAACACTCAAAACGCAAAACACCAGAGAAATATTCCAGTAAGCCCTAAGGCCTTATGATATTTCAAACTAGAGTGAACTCATGGAGATGTGTGCAATGTGGCAAGTCCTTTGCTCAGTATTCAGTTCTTCAAAACCTTTGCAGAATTCGTACTCTAAAGAAACCGTATAGTTGTAAGGAATGTGGGAAATCATTGACTTGGTCTTCAAAACTTCAAGCCCACCACAGAATACAAACTGAACACGAACCTTATAAGTCTAATGAGTGTGAGAAATCATTTACCCATCTTCTAGCCCACCACAGAATCTATACAGGAGACAAACCTACAAATGTAACGATTGTTGGAAAAGCTTTATACAGTCCTCAGATCTTAAAAACTCACTACAGAATCCACACAGGAGGCAAGCCTTACAAAGGTAATGAGTGTGCCATGGCTTTTACCTGAGCCTCATCTCTCCAAGCTCATCAGAGAATCCATACTGGAAACAACCTTATATGTCTAACAAACGTGGAAAATCCATTCCCTGCTCCTCGAATCTTCATTCTCACCAGAGAATCTACACAGGAGACAAACCTAACAAATGTAGGAAGTTTGGAATTGATTTCCCAGGCCCTCAACTCTCCAACCTCATCACAGAATCCATCCTGGGGACAAACCTTTCAAATATAGTGAATTTTGATAATCCTTTACCCTGTTCTCAGTAACTTTATAAGTGTAATGAATGTGAAAAATATATTTCCAGGTCCTCAAATCTTCAAGGTGACCACAGAATCCATACTGCGAACAAACGTTACCAATATAAAGAATGTAGAAAGTCCTTCTCACAGAAATCATATTTTCAAACCTGACATAGCATGTGTACTAGAGAACAACCATACAAATGTAAAGAAGATGGCAAATCATTTAGCACAAACTCAAACCTTAGACCACATAGAAGATCTATGCAATAGACTAACTTGACAAGTAATTACTGTCCTAGTATTAATACAGAAACCTGTTTTTTACAGTGAGAAACATATTTGTAAGAATTCAAATAATGTTAAAACCTTACTCATTATCAGAGAACTCCCAGAGGAAAGCCCTGTACCTTATTAGGAATTGGAAACATTTTACCCAGAAACACAATTTATATTCATATTAAATAATTATTTAGAAAACAAAATATGAAGAAATCTCTCACCCAGTATTAATCTGACATCATTGATTAATAATGGTATAGAATTCAAGATCAAACAAAATTAGAGAAGTAGTACTTTAAAATATAAGGATTTAAGCCCCAATAATATTAATAACTATCTTTATACAAACCTGTTGCATAATATTCTGTATAGTTCAGTAGGCTAGAATATTGACTTTCTTGAGATATATTCTATGTGATTATTTTGTTGTTAGTCTTTTAGCTTTTTATAGAATATACATTATAGGAAATTTTTAATCTCAAAATAATCCCTTCTTTTTCGGGATTATCCATAAATATATTACAACTGTCTTCCAAAAAAAAAAAAAAAGAAAGAAAGAAAGAAAGAAAGAAAGAAAGAGAGAAAGAAAAAAAAGAAAAAACAAGAGGCAAATTTTCCCCAATTTTAGAAAAAAATTATTTATTGTGATTCAATTGGTCTATTTCAACTAGATCATTGGTATAGTAATTTTGTGACAAAAATTTGTATGAAGTTTGCAGAAATGTTACCTTGAATGACTAGTAGGCAATGACGCTTAAATTGCAACATAGAAATATGGCAAATCACACTTTAGAAAGCCTCCTCCCATAGGACACACCGTCCCACGACTCACAACAGTGTGATTTGGTCCTGGAAGGTAGCTCTGTTCACAGGGGACATGTACCAACAGTGTGGCTCCATGGAAATTAAAGAGAAATAACAAGTTTATCCAATCCTGATGTTTCTTGCCATAAACAAATTCACAACACTCTTGTAGTAGCCAAGGAGGCTCACGTCAGGGGCCAGGGAGATGCCCCTCTGAACCAGGGCAACACTACCTGCATCCCAACAATGAACAGCACCACTGGAGGACACCAAGCCAGCAAGCCAGGGCTGGAACAAGCAGCGAGCAACCATGAGCACCTGCACTCCAGACCAAATGCAGTGCCAAAGCAAAGGGAGCCAGGCAGAAGGCACGTGCTAGCACAGATAGGATGCTGGCAGACTTCCATCACCTTAGAGCTCTGTGGATGTCCATTCTGATATGAAAATAACAGGGACCCTCACATTTATAAGTACTTAACGGCACAGGTGCTGGGAGGAACTGACAGAGTAGCTCAGAAGCTGGGCTACTAAAAGCTCTGCCAGAGGAGACAGAGTCATACCAGAGCGTCAAGTCTATTCTGACACTTTACACATTATTCTCTGTAGAATAGGGGGTATGCAAATTAAGCATTTTAATAAATATTAGAAATGTTCATTATTTTGCAAATATAAAGAAAATTAGCTAAATAGAGCAATATAATAAAAATATACACTAGACAGATCTTTTTTGCCATGAATATTTCTCACCTTTTTCTTGGAACATCTTAACACAGCATTACAGTGTCTTTCATTGACTTTCAGAAATTAACAAAAACCCAGTATCACATAGCTTCAAAATATAAAATATTTTAGTATTAAGAGTCTGAGCTGGCAGGTAGTCAAATGGAAGATAAACAGTATAGCGAAACACACTGCAAACTAATGTTAAAATACAACCTTCTGAATTACAGACAGCATTCAATAATCTTGACAAGTGGACATTAATTCATGAAAACATTAAAAAAAAAAAAAAGCATAAACTCCACTTAGCTTCCATGTCTCCAGCAACCCCAGCACCTAAAAAGCCACATGTGTTCGCCCCAAATCAAATGCACGTTGACTGTGGTCACAAACTCTACTTTATCCAGTGTTCAATCATCAAGGTTTAAAAAAAAACAAAAAACAAAAAACAAAAAACAAAACTTCTTATTTAATTCAGGAAACAATGTGACACGATGTGTAGCCATCAGTAAGAGACAATGACTGCAGCCGGCTACCTGTTTATGCTTTAATAACAAACCACAGGCAGCCAAGGAGGGTCCCATACAGCCAGGTGCCCATATACAGTTTCCTTCCAGACTCCGTCATGAGCATGACAGCAGTCAAACTCCCCAAGATCAACACTGACGGTAAAGTCTTCTTGACACTTAGTCTGGAATGAACACTTTTCCCAGGAAATTTGTTTCTTCTTTCTGGATCTGGTGAATCATAGAATTCTATGAGCAACCTATGGCCAGAATGAAAAACAACAGAATTGAAACTTTCAGTCTGGGACACTTTGGTGTTGAAACAAACAAACAAAAACCATCTACTAGATACTGAGTACCAGCTGATCAAGTACAGCTCCGTAGAAGACCTGGATGAGTACAGCAACATCAGAGCTGGCACGGCAGGGTGCTCACTCCTTACAGTACGGACACGGTATTACACCCTTACCACATGGGAAATAAAAATCAAAACACACGGTTTAAGACATTTGATGAGGACTTCGGGGATTTTTAAAATAAAGATATGTTTATATACTTTTATGTGTATGGGTGTTTTGCTAGTGTGTATGTCTGTATACCAGGATTGTGTCTGGTGCCCACAGAGGCCAGAAGAGGGTGTTAAAGCCACTCAATTTGAAGTTAAATTTACAGAGCCCCCCATTGTGTGGGTGCTGGGAAATGAACCTGAGGAAGAGCAGCCAGTGCTCTTAACTCCTGAGCCATGATGGCTCCAGCTTCGTTTTTTTTGTTTTGTTTTGTTTTTAAACCTTCCACCTGTAAGTGGTCATACCAACCCGACTCATATGATGGATGACCTTCCAGCTTCTCTCCTTCCTCCCGTAAGAAGTCAAAGAAAAGGTCTGAGGTTGTAGCTCAATGGTAGAATGCTTGCCTAGCATGTGTGAGCCCATGGATCCAATCGCATAAAAATAAACTTTCAAAGAAGTGAAAGAAAAGAAATTCTTACAACATAGGAGTTTCCTCCTGAGGTGATTTGAATAAGAATTGTCCCCAATGGTTCACAGATGGTGACTATTTGAGAAGGATTAGAAGGTGTGGCCTTGTTGGAGGAAGTGTGTTATAGGGGTGGGGAAATGGGGGAGGATGAGAGGCTTTGAGGTTTCAAGAACCCATGCCAGGCTCAGCCTGTCTCTCTGGCCTGTGGATCAGAATGTAGCTCTCAACTACTTCTCCAGCACTATGTCTGCCTGCATGGCCCCTGTCCCCACCATGAGGACAGTGGACCGAATCTCTGAAGCTGTGAGGAAGTCCCCAGGGAAATGCTTTCTGTTAGAAGAGTTGCTTTGGTCAGAGTGTTTCTTCACAGCAACAGAGCAGTAACAAAGACACCTACCAAAAGCTCTGATTTCCATGAAGTTATAAAAGCAGACAGGGGGAATAGGAAAGGTACTTCATTCATCCTTCCTCTGATTTAACCATATAACATTACAGCAGCAGGACAGGGCACAAAAGCACAGGAAGTGCTCCTCCTTCCTTGTGAGCCACTTCCATGGGGTAACAACAGTGTGTGTTGTAACGGGACGTAATGCAAATGGGTGGGCGTGAAACACTGTCGGCTCCTTTTCTGAAAACATGTTCATATTAAGACACATAGGTCTTCTTACATTGTTCCCATCATCCAAGTACTGCTGAGGTGCTGGGTTGAACCGTTATGTCAGGTACAAACACGTGACAACACAAGGCACAAATCTAATATGAAGCTTCATTTTCAACCTGCTGTACTTGCAATAACTTCTACTAACTCAGGAAAGGGGACAATTTCCTCACGAAAATAAGCACTCCCTTCCTTCCCGCAACATGAGGTGCTGTGCTCACGTGCGCTTCGGTCTCTAAGCCCGCAGCCTCGTGTTCCCCGTGTAGCTGCAGAGGAACGGATCCTCTACATCTCACCACACAGCAGCCTACTGTCCAGAAGACACTGCAGGGAGGGCCACCATGACATGATTTTTACAGTGACTCGTGTGAGTTTACAACATGAGCACACAAGGATAGAGTAAGAGTTAACCTGAGGTCACAGACAACATTCTTGAAACAGAAGACTTTAGTTTCACTTCAGCTGGAACAAAAGCATCCCTGTTTACTGAGGTGAGTTGTCATTGTATAGAAAGCCAAACTGATGTAGGATGTTAAACTTAACTGTTAAACAAGGGTAATGCACCATTAACCATGTTACGTATTAAGTATGTAAGGTCTTGTCTATGCAAGTTTGACTAGTATTTCCTAAATAACAAAGATAAAGACAGCTCTTTCACACTGGTTACGATAGTGAAGTTAGCTGGACTGCCATGTCCAGATGGCGGAGCTGTTATCACGTACTTATCTTTTATCTCGAAGCGCTCGTGGAGCCACTTTTTCATGTGTTCTTGTTCCTCTGGAACTTCACTTCTGTCTATGCGATCAAAGTGAATATGAAGTGTGGGGCACTGTTTGCAGAGAAACTCTAACAAATAAAGAAATTTCACATCTTACTACTTTAGAATTAGTGATTATACAAAGTAACTTACAATAAAAATGAAACAGTAAGGCTAAAACAATTGAAAACAATAAAAGCTATGAACTTATGATTTGCAGCATTAAGCTGAAATTAAAAACTCATTAGCACACATCTCTTGTTACCCCCATGTTGGTCATCATGACTTCTATCAGCCAACCTTCCTCTAGGGATGTAAACATCAATAAGAAACCTATCACTCTGTGTGGTAACATAAAACTTCATTTTTAAAGTATTTAAAAGGTAAAATCTTTTACATTTTAGTGCTTCTCCTCACTTACTGTCAAAGCCAATCCCATCCATAAAGTATGTAAGAAAACTGGCTGGTTCTGACCATCACACTGCTTCCTGTTCCTGAAGGTGGAGGAAAGATGAGCACTAGAGAAATACTCAATACAGAAGGAGTGTGTGGGGCCAGGGAGAGAACATGTCTTCAAACTTCAAGTCCTTGTCACACTGGGGTGCAGACATTCCTTAGAGCATGTCTTCCATCGCATTTTCAGTAAGACATAACATTCTTGGCCTCCTGTTTACTAGGAAGCAGAGTTTCATCTGAAATCTCTGAAGAGTATTTACTTACTCTCCAAGAAACTGTAGTGTGGCAATATTCATACAGGAGTCTCTGATAGTAAGTGTTTGATTTTGCCCACCCCTCACCCCACTTTGTTGTTGCTGGGGGTTAAATCCAGGACCTCGTGCAAGGCAGACAAGAACTCTTCTACTGAGCTTCATCTCAGCCCTTGAGTGATTTCCTGATTTAGAATCTTCCTAGGTTCTTCAGCCTGACCTTGTCCTCATGATCTTCTCCCTCTTCCTCCTTAGTACTGAGATTATAAGAGACCTCTCTTGTATGCAGCAAAATACCATGTCTCTCTCTTCCCTGCCACACTCCTCTCTCTCTAAAATGAATACTTTGAAAGGAGCCAGAATCTTCCATCACTCCTTCTCACCTGTTCCCATGTTCAAATGTAGAGTCTGTGGCTACAGTTACCTCAACTATCCCCACTCAAAGCCCCCTGGTTCCATGACAAGGGCAATAGTTCTGAGTCCTTAAAATCTAGCACATTGGAAGAAGGCAACATTTCTTCTTGTAAATAATGACAATGTCCTCTCTAAACATGCTATAAAGAAGGCTGAAGGCAAAAGCAACAAACATAAAAGAGGAGCTGGGTGGGGAGTGCCAGGTGTAGTGGTGCTCAAGGCCAGCTTGGTCTCCACAGTGAGTTCCAGGACAGCCATGGCTTCACAGTGGAACCCTCTATTGAAAACCAAACTGAACCAAACAAAGCAAAAGGAACAAACAAACAAACAAACAAGAGCTTATGTCTTACCTGTACCGTGTGCTATTCAGCTATTCAGCTTCTAATACATTGAAATATGGACTCACCAGTCATGGACGGTGGGTTTGAGTATTTTCCTGACCCTTTCTCATTCCCTTCGTAGACCACTGTGACATCATAAATTGCATCTAAATGACTCTTCATAGAATCAAAAGCAACGTGAGTTGCCTTTATTCTTGGTGTCAGCACGTGTTTTAATACTGCAAGGCCTAGAAAGCAGATAGATTCAGTGTGGTCATAATTAGGAATACATTAAATTTAACATTTAAATTACTTATCAACTACCACAAATAGACAGGCATTGAAGTTTACTGCCCTACCCTCACACCTAAAATACTCTTGTACATTCCCATCTCTATGTAGGTCAACCCCACTGAGCATGTATCCATTAAACATCTACATGAATGAGACATCCTCCGAGAAGCTGGGAAGGCTGGTCCTCGGGAAGCTTATGACCCACTGGGAGCCTTCTCTTCGGTAAGCTCTGCCAAGAAAGACACTATGGAAGAGCAGCAGCATCTTGCTAAGCACACAGTTTTTCTTAGGACAGAATTCAGCATTCCCTTCACTCTCTTCTGCTTCTTCCTCTCCTGGACTCCAGCATGTACTTACAATTTCACAGGAAGCATAGGTCTTGTGATGTGCTATGAACAGTGACTAGGGAGAACGGGGTTTGAAGTCTGTACTGCCTCTCTCCAGGGAAAGTGGCTGCATAAGGAAGACCAGCTACAGGATGGTGGGACTGTCTACAGAAGAATTTTTAAAATGCAGGGTGGTGTGGGAAAGAAAACGATTCCCACAACCACATATCTGAGTTCAGTCCCCAGGGCAAAAGGAGTGTAATTTATTCACAAACTTGTACTGAAGTCTGAAAAGTCAACCAAGCTGGGAAAGTTTTCTTGTCAGCTAAGTCATTCGCCACTAGAGGCCATCTCGCCTCAGGAGCTTTATAGAATCACCCTGTGAAACTTCCAGGCTCCATGTTACCTTGAGCAGATTTTTTTCTTTTCTTTTTTCTCTAAGAGAGACCCAAGCTGGCCTCAAGTTTACGATGCTCCCACCTTAGATCCCAGAAGCTGCGATCATAGCTTTGCACCACCATTTCTGGCTCAGCCAGTATTTTTATGAGATCATTAGGACTGGAAGCTCAAAAAGCAGGTGAGATGTGGTGTCAAAATATGAAGAAAAAAATCTACAGCAAATTCTTGCCTGTCTGTACCTATTAACACCTAGCCCATTAATGTCTGCTTAATGCTACTAATGCTGTAATGTCTACTATGCTTCTAACTAAGACCTAGCCCTTCTGTGATTGCTCAGAAGGAAACGTCCATCCTAAGTCAGACAGTATGACCTTCTCTAGTCTTCACATGGAATGAATATGACCCGACCAAGTACTTGTCAGCTCTGAAGCATGATGCGGCACTAACTGTTCTGAAACTTGAAGTCATTAGCTGACTGATTCTTTCCAGTGTATATATACACACTTCCTGGGTGTATACTTGAAGGACTTGTATGAAAATGATGACCGCAATAGCCCATATCTTACGGGTTAATTTTAAAAGCTAATAATTAAAAAAAAGACGACTGTATCAAAAGGGAGACAAAACACACAAGCTCTGACCTTTGCAGAGTGAACAAATCCAATCTTCTTGGTCTTTCTACCTCTCAGCATTAGCTCAGCATCACTAACAGACTTGCCTGTAGTGGCCCTGACCTCCACTTTCTGATTACGATGCATGTACCTGTGCTTACATTTGTGCTACATATACATCCACACATGTGTACTTATGTTATACACCAGACTTTATACTGAGTCACTCAAATGTGTACTTTCTAGGCATTATCATTTACTTACATTTTAACTCAGTTCACAGCATGGGATAGATACGTGCTACAGCGAACCTGTGAGTCTAACCTCTCAGACACAGACTAATAAGAATAATACCTAACTCTGGTGAAGATCAGACATTTTTTTTTATTTAGTTCTTACAAGAAATGCGAATGGAGACTCTAAAGGAAACAAAGATCACTCTTCTTAAAAAGTATTTTTCTGAATACAGTCAAATCTTTACTTACCCCGCTGAGCAGCAAATGCCTGACTGGCTGAGAGGAGTTTTGTGTATGTTGCATTATACCTTGTTCCCTCTGGGAAAATCACAAGATACATCTGTGGACATAAATAAACTTTAGTTTGTGTGAGTCCATTGTTGTTACCATCAATTTAGCAATTCGAACTGTTATTGTTGAGGTAGTGTTTCCTATGATGAAATGGCCATGAACCTACATGGCTAGAGATGAAAAATGCCTGTTAGGTTGTAAAATATCCACCACAGGCTCAGTTATTTGAGCATTTGGTTCCCAGATGGCAAGTGCTGTTTTGGCAACTTTGAAACCTTTAAGACATGGGGCATCACTGGAAGACAAGGAACTCTGTGGGATGGGACCTGAGGTTTATACACTATCCCAGCTTCCTGCCCTGTTCCCAGATCCACAGAGAACTGAGCTAGAAGTCTATGTTCTTGCTGCCGAAGCTGTGCTACTAGGCCTTCTTAGTCATGGTACCCTCAAAGCACAAATCAAAATAAATCGTTCTTCAAGTTGTTTCCTGTTGGGTATTTGGTCACACTAATGAGAAAAGTAGTATAGTAACCATGCAAATATATTCACTTATTTTTTTTCTTATCCAGAGAAGACTCCTTAGAATCCATTATCACTATCAAATTTATTGTTGTTGTTTTAGAAAGAAGTGTTTGTGCCAGGCAGTGGTGGCGCACGGCTTTAATCCCAGCTCTTGGGAGGCAGAGGCAGGCAGATTTCTGAGTTCAAGGCCAGCCTGGTCTACAGAGTGAGTTCCAGGACAGCCAGGGCTACACAGAGAAACCCTGTCTCAAAAAGCCAAAAAAGAAGAAGAAGAAGGAGGAGGAGGAGGAGGAGGTGGAGGAGGAGGAGGAGGAGGAGGGGAGGAGGAGGAGGAGGAGGAGGAGGAAGAGGAAGAGGAAGAAGAAGAGAAGGAAGAGGAGGAGGAGGAGGTGTTTGTTTATGCTTAGAATTCCAGGAGGAAAGGGGCCCACCATGACAGGGAATTGTGGAAGCAGAGAGGAGTCATGGCATCAGGAAGAGTGAGAGTCCATACCTCAAACTTTGAGCAGGCAGGAGAGTTAGAACTGGGAACTGTGTGGGGCCTTAAAATCTCAAAGCTCTTCCCCAATTATATACCCTTTCCAGCAAGGCCATACTTCCTAAACCAATGTAATCAGTACAACTACATGAGACTGCCTTCCAAACGACTACACATGTTCTTGTGAGGGGATCTAGGCAGGCAGCACTCTTCTCAGGACAGAGTGCTAAAGGTCTGCAGGCTCTGGTTCCGATGGCTACCACCACACTTGGCCAAGAGTCAAGGGTTTTGTGTTTTTTTTTGTTTGTTTTGTTTTTGCTTTGTTTTGGTTTTAGATTTTTAATATTTTATGTGTATTTTGTCTGCATATGTATGTACGCTATGTGGATGTCTGGAACCTGCAGAGGTTAAAAAAAAGCATTGGATTCCCTGGACCTGGAGTTATAGATGGTTGTGAGGTACCATGTGGTTGCTGTGAACTGAACCTAAGTCCCCGGAAAAGCAAGAGGTGCTCTTAATCGATGAGCTGTCACTCCACTTCCAAGCGTGAAGATCTTAAAATAAAGCTTTTGTAAGGCGGGCTAAATGTGCTCATTTCTTTGCTATTGGCTTCAACCTGAAGGCATAAATTTGGTGTTTATCTTCTTTTTCTGTCATCGACATGAGGCAGGTGGTCACAGACTAGGAGATTAAACCTGAAGTGCCAGGCAAGAAAAGAATGGCCAAGGATCAGCCTGACATTTCTAGACTCTTCTCACATGAGATCCCTGCTCGAGGACAGGAGGAATGAGAACGGCAGAGAACAGCCGAGAGCGCCTGGCAAGCTGCCCTACACAGGCTCGGCTGTGTTCCAGCTTTCTGACACCTGTCCATACTCATTGCCTTATCTGCTGAACCCTTACTGGAAGAACCAGAGTCTCATTCTCTTCTATGATTATCTTCTCCGTAATTTTTAAAATACGTATTCGAGACACAAAATATCACTTTAAAGAGATGCATCTGCCTCTGATGGGAATGTAGCAATCTGTTTACATCAGAAACTGTTCACAACGAAAAGCTATTTAACACAATTATTAGATTTCTAAATATTTTTAAATGAGAGCTTATTACGAAATGATACTTTTCTGTTAAAGGCAGCCTTTCTCTATGAACTGCATGAACTAGTTCACTTTGTCACGAAGTCTCCATCTCATATTTCACGGTGAGAGGTTGTTAAAGGACTAGAGCAAGTAAGTGAAAACCTCGGACCGCAACCTGCATGCTCTGAAAGGTTCCTTCTTCCATTCTAGTTCAAAACAAAACAAAACACAACACAACTAACTAGAAGACACAAAGAAAGGGCAGACCATGAAGACAAGGTCAACAACCATGTACAAATGAAGCTGTTTCTTTGCTTCATAGATACAACCCCACAGAAGAAAACACAAGAAACTTTAATCATCTCTGGCTGGGTTGACTGGCAGGTTGGGAGGAGAGGGGGTACATAAATCTGTACCTTAACTTTTTTTTTTTTTTTTTTTTTGGTTTTTCGAGACAGGGTTTCTCTGTGTAGCCCTGGCTGTCCTGGAACTGATTCTGTAGTCCAGGCTGGCCTCGAACTCAGAAATCCACCTGCCTCTGCCTCCCAAGTGCTAGGATAATTCTGTCTTCTGAAGATGTATTTTTTTTTTTTTGTTTTAAAAAGTCTACTAAATTGTATTCCATTTCAAACTCAGGCATCGCCCTTCCAGCGCCGCACTTGCTCTCTGGGGAATGCTGTAATTGGAGAAAGGGCCACTGTTCATCTCATTATAACCGATTCCCACCATCTCCAAATTAGGTACGACTTCCTACTGTCCAAAGTTCTAGAAGATGTGGGGTGGTGGGTTGTGAGAAGCAGCTGGGTGCCTGGTCGAGCATAGGCCTTGAACCCTGAACCCTTATAGGTCAGCAGGTATTCCGCTCTGCTCCCAGGCCCTGGTTCTTTTCACTTAGTCTCAGTCCTCCACAGCCCCTCCCACAGAGAGGTCTATGGCCATCAGTCACGAGGAACAGTGCCTCAGGCTCTCCCACATGTCGATGAGGTATCTCCAAGCTCTCAGACCAAGCCAATAGGCGTTTTCTGCTGCCAGACCCTAACCCACGCTGAAACTGTATATAAGGGCTTTATTCAGGAGAAGTAAAGGTGTGCGAGAATCATCCCGTTGTCTGAGAGTTTCTGTTGCAAGGGCTGTAACACTAGAGCTGTAACACTTGGGAAGAGATCTGCTCTCCTGGAACCTGCCTGGGACACCAAGCTGCCTCCTTGCCAGCTAGCTGGCTTCTTATCGGCCCAGCCTGTCTGGCTCAACTCGGAGAGACAGGTACAGCACCTGGGAGTGACCGGTGGCAACAGTGGAGACAGGAGCAGAAGCAGCAGTGGAGGCAGGCGATCTCCCCTCTTTGCTTGCACTCTGTCCCCTTGGGCCGGACCCCCACAACAGGCCGGGCTGGAGATCATAGTGGGAAGCCTTCCGGAACAGGGGACCCACAGCAGGGCCTGCACCCTGCTTGCTCCCTTCTCCACTTCGCCTCCTCGGTCATTAACGGCCAGCTACAGCTACTTAGCCCAGCCCGCATGCCCCCAGCCTCAACTCTTCCATGGCTTCCAATAGCGCCTGGGAGCCCAGGAGTCTGAGACCAGTTGATCCCCACAAGCCTTCTCATCCGGGGGTCCCCATCCAAGAGCTCTGCACTCCCTCAGAACTTCAGACTGAGTACAAAGTTCTAGAAGATACTTTGAAGTAAACAACGACTGTGGCAGTCAATGCACAGCTCTGGCTGTTGCCTGGTAAGTGGAGGGCATGAGGGCATGAGAGAGGAAGGAGACAAGAACTCCCCCAAGTCCTCACCACAACCAGGGAGGGGCAAAGGGAAGAGGCAGTTGACAGTAGTTAGCATTCTTGAAATAGAAGATTTGAATTCTTTTTTCCCCGTTTATAGAAAAAAAAATCTGTAAAATAGTGACATGGAATGATTCTTCATTAGGAGATTCTTTGCTTTTTTTCTTAAACTTTAATTTCTACAATAAAAAAATCTAAATTTACACAGAAAGAAAGCAATTGCTTCTTGTAGAACTAAATCTCATGTGAAGGCTATCTTCAGGGCTTCAGTGTAAGGCTGTCACTGAGCTCCATCCTCTGCACACTACAACAAACCCTTGCTCCTCCTGACTCATTACTGACAGTTACTAGGGAGAAACCTTACAATCAATTGCAGCAATCTAACCTGACGGCCACGAGGACAGCACCTCTCAACAAAACCCTGAACCAGTTTCCTCATTCCACATGGGGTAATACATTTTCCAAATGGCCTTAGAGTTTAATTTCTTCAACCATGAACTGAGTTGAGGAATAAAAACAGCACACTTACTGGTGTCCCCGCATTCACATAGCTCTGAAGCTTGCTTCTCATCTCTTTATCATCAAATTTGGCACTTCGTTTTACATAAATTCCTCCATGCTGGTACATAGAAAAGAAAAAGAAAAAGAAAAAAAAAGAGCAATTATTCTTTAAGTAACTAACCACCATAGTCATTCAGGCAACTGTACTCTCTATGAGAAAAAAAAAAAAAACTACATTTCAGAACTCAAGCTACAGTTAATATTTAAATACTGTCAACTATACAATATATAACTGAAAATTCTATTTCTATAGAACCCAAGTAAAACTTCATGATGGACAGTACACATTTAATATTGTTTGCACTTAAAATACTTTTTTTCTTTAACAGATTTAGTTCAAAAGCTTTTTCTGATGGATCTTAACTCATTAGTTTTCTACTGTCATCAACAGAGTCAGTTAAAAGTATCCTTAAAATATGCACACTCCCAGATGCAGAGATGGTTCAACAGATATGAGTATTTTCAGAGACTGGGGTTCAGTTCCCAGCACCTACAAGGTCACAACCGTCCATAACTCAGTTGCAGGAAACCTAATGTCTTCTTCTGACCTCCATGAGCCCCAGAAATACATAGATACAAAAAATGCTCAAACACATAAAATAAATTAAAAATAATAAATAAATGAGGCCACAGAGGCCAGGAAGGAAGGATAGAAAATTAAAAAAAAAAATGTCTACACCTCTAACCTTTAAGGAATTGAAATATGGACTAAGCACCAGAAATACATATACACAAGGTACTCAGCTACATAAAATGAATTAAAAATGATAAATAAATGGGCCACTGGACAGGAGGGAAGGACATAAAAAAAATAATTAAAATAATGTCTACACTCACAACCTTTAAAGAATTAAAATATGGACTCTGCTACAGAGATTGGTGTGACATCATTATGAACTAAATTCCCCCCCCCCAACTCTTATATTGAAGCCTCAGCATCCACAGTGACTGTGTATAGAGACAGGGTCTTTAAGAAAATCATCACAGTTAAGTGAAATAAGGGCACTAGCCGAGGCCTGGCTGTGGAACATGTATCAAGGATATCCACATGTGGGAAAGGCCAGCTCAGAACACAGGAGAAGGCTGCAATCTATGAGCCAAAAAAGTCGGTACTGGGAGAAAGCAGCACCACCTACATCTTGATCTTGAGGAGACTTTCCGGCTTCAGAACTGTGAGAAAATACATTTTTCCACACTGAGTACTTCACATTCTAAGCTCAGGGTCTGGTTTTACCTCCTGTCGCTCACTAACTTTTGAATCAATTTCCAAACTTAACTGATTGTCAATTCTGTGCTTTTAGCTTTCTATCGGACCCCTAGGTATTTGTATTTCTGCTATTGCACTTAACTACACGGACAACCAGACATCCAGACACACACCAAGAACCACAAATAAGAGCAGGGGAGATGGTTTAGTTGGGAAAGCGTTTGTCTCACAAGTACAAGGACCAAGTCTGGATCCCTCAAATCCATGGAAATAGCTGGGCACAGCAGCGCACACTTGTAATCTAAACAAAGGCCAGGAGGCAGAGACAGGCAGGTGCCTGGGGCTCACTGGCCAGCTAGTCTGGTCAACTCGGCTAAGGTCTAGGAGACTGTCTCACAATGGAAGGTCTGAAAGCGACATCCACAGTTGTACTGAAAATTGTCCTTTGATCTCATATGCATCCCTATGTGCACACAAGCACACATATGCATGTGCACACATAGAAAATTCTAAATAAAAATACTTAAATTTAAAATAAGCCATTAAAAGTTGTTTTAAAAATGTCTGGACTAAGGATGTCACTCAGTAGCAGACACGTGACCCCATGTTCAATTGCTGGTATCATAAAACAAACAAATAAACACACACAAAATCATATATATTTTCATTAAATGGTGTTAAATTTGAAATAAAAGAACAAAGACAAAGGTTACCTGAGCAAAGTAGAACCCATACAATGGAAGCCATTTTAGCCCGTCTTTCAGTACATAGCGCACATGTCCCAGAGCATCCTGTCGGGCAGCCAGCATGTCCGCAACAATCCAGTCAACTGTAATGCAGAACCATGTCAGTACATCACTAGCCAAAGTCAACTCCAACTCTCCCCTCACAGGAACAAAAACTCTTCTTCACAGCACTGCCTTCCTACTATGTCCTGAGAATATGACTATGGAGGCAGAGGCAGAAAGCATACAGGCTCAGAACCAACCTGGTGTACTGAGCAAGACCCAGGCCCACTAGGGCCACATAACAAGACCTGGTCTTAAAAAAGCTTTTTAGTTTTTTTTTTTAAAGAAAGTATGATTAAAATGCAACCACATGGTGCCTCACAACCATCTATATGAAGATCTGATGCCCTCTTCTAGCATGCAGCCATATATGCAGATAGGGCATATACATTAAATAAATAAGTACAGAAATCTTTAAAAAGAAAGGCACCACATTGCATCTTTACTAACGACTTCCTGGTTCAACTCTTACAATACCCAACAAGGGTCTCCTGTGACTTACAATTGTGCTAGGTAGATATGTAGTTCTTATTTTGCAGCTTTTGAAACTGTGGGTTGCGAACCCATAAAGGGGTCACGTAAATGATTTCAGGGACCAAAAAAAATTGTGAATAAAAGTTTTTTAATAAGCAATGAGCAAAAATTAATTCAAAATCACATACATATGAATGAACAAGCCTCTCCCTCCTGTGCTGCCTTGTGCAGTTGCCACTGCATCTTCTGTTTTGAACACGCAACACACACGCTTCTTACTGCACACAGTATCACATATGGAATGCTAACCAACAGGTGACTCGGATTCAAGGCACTAGAATGTCATCAAGTACAGTACATTTAGTATATATACAGAGCTTTCTGCTCTTACAGAAACGTAATGGTTTAATGACAGAAAATAGTTAACATTTCATCACTGCCATTCCTTAGCATGTAAGTATGAAACCAGTACACTTTTGATTGTATTACATTAGAATGTTTGATTTTTTTAAAACTGCTATTTAATCATTGGCTTGAGTTCCATTAAATGAATTTTGACCTAGAGTTAGAATGGAATTTCAAGCAGTTTCTGAAATGACCCTAAACATAATTCTGCCATGTTGTACTATGTGTTTGTGGAAACAGCATTCTTAGGACTGACATCTACAAATCAAAATCCTGATGAATTCTGAAAACAATGAAATGTTCTACATCCTAGAGTATCAAATATTCAGCCAAAGTCAAGTCCTGACATACAAATTCATCCATCTCATAGTATGTATATTGCCTTTCATCTTTAATAAGTGCTAAAATTCTATGTGTTTAAAAATAAATCTCTCCACTGTTTATCAGTCAGTGTTTGATTATATTGCCCTTATATACCTGGGGTCATGTAAAAGTTTTATGGTGGGGTTGGAGAGATGGCTCAGTGATTAAGAGCACTGGCTGCTCTTCCAGAGGTCCTGAGTTCAATTCCCAGCAACCACATGGTGGCTCACAACCATCTGTAATGGAATCTGATACCCTCTTCTGGTATGTTTGTACTAATATATATATATTAAATCTTTTTTTAAAATTCATGCAAATAAACCCTTTCATGGTGAAATAAAGAGAAATAAGAAAGTTTCCTGAGAAGCAGAAAAATTGAAAACTTGAAAATAAATGGCTGCAGGTACCTTCCTTGTGAAGGAAAATAAGAGGTCACGAAAAGTCTGTTAGCATTTAGAGAAGAATTCAAGGATATGAACAGAAATATTGTTGAAGTGTATTCAGGGCCATGAAAATGACAACAAATGGAGTTAATTAGAGGAGACAATATCTAATTTAAATCAACAACAACAAACTATCACAGTGAGGCTGACAGTACAGGCCTGTAATCCCAGCTACTTGGGAGACTGAAGCAGAAAGATCACGAGTTCAAGCCGCACTGAGGTAACTTAGTGAGACGATGCCTCAAAATAAAAAAATAAAAGAACTTGGAGATGTAGCTCAGTGACAGAGTACATCCCAAACATGTGCATGGCCCTGGGTTCTATCCTAGCATGAAAGAAAGTTGGGGATTGGGTAGGGGAGGGACAACAAACTATAGTAAATATTATAAAGCCTGGAGTTTAAAGTTTATCAAAATGGGGTACTTTCCCACAGCTATAATGTAATTCTTGACCATTTAAAATTTTTTCATAATGCATATACAAATGAAATATCCTAGAATTTTTTCCCTTTAAATGGGAATAATCAACTTTCTAGAAAAATCTTAATTAACTGTTTTAAACTAGGGATTACAAAACACAGGTTATTTCTAGCTATATCTTGGAAATATAACCAAGTCTGTGAGAAGAGTATCTAATATAAAAGTTGTCTATAGAAACACTGAGAATTAGCTCTGTGAAGGCTCTATGACAATAGTTCTCACCCTTCCTAATTCTGTGACTTTTAATGCAGTTCCTCATATTGTGGTGACCCTCAACCATAAAATTATTTTGTTGCTACTTCCTAACTGTAATTCTGCTACTGTTATGATTTATAATGTAATATCTGATATGTAGGATATCTGATATGTGATCCTCAAAGGGGTTGTGACCCACAGGTTGAGAATGATGGCCCTATAGCGTTCACTGACCAGTGAATATCCTAGGTATAAATGAAATAAATAGGTAAAAGCCAAGTTTGGTATCTTTATATTTTGGACTCTGGTACACCTTCTAAAAATGATTAAGAAATATTTTAAAATATGTCATGCATAGAGGATAAATTACCTTGAACCATGACCTTAAATTTGAAAATTTTGGTAAAAACACTTAAGAAGTAACTTACAAGCCAGGCATTGTGGCAAGCTTGGCCTTTAATCTCAGAGTTGGGGAGGCTGAGGCAGTTAAATCTCTGTGAGTTCGAGGCCAGCCTGGTCTATACGGTAAGTTTGAGGACAACTGAGGTTATATGGTAAGACTTTGTCCCGAATAAAAAAAGAAGTACAGTCAAAGAATTCAATATAGATTGAACACTGTACTTATGCCCGCCGTTTCAGAGATAACACTGGATTAAAGCATAGAAGGGAATGTACTGCATTCACATAAACATCTGTATATTGTGTTCTGACAAGAATAATTTAATTTGGTTAAGTCAGGATTCTTCAGCCATATGGTTATCTAGCCATAAGCCATGTTTCCACTAACGTGAAGAGAGGAGAACGGACAAATAAACCTTACTTTCCTTGTCTGTATGGTTGTGTCTCACTAGTCTCTAATGCTTAGTGTTATGGTATGACACATAAGGGTTTATGCCCATGAGTCCAGCACTGGGCTATAGCCACCATCACTCACAGTACTAAATGTCACCCATATGCCAGGTACTGTACTGGGGCTATGATTGGAACTATGTGTACACTGCCTTGAAGCTTCTATCAGTAGATACCATTCAGATCCAACCAACAGGCTCAGAGAGCCTCGGTGCTCTGCCCTCTGCAGAGAACATACAGCAGGGCACACACAAGCAGGGTCTCCCAGACACAGAGCCGCCGGCTCTACGCCCATCTTCTCAACTACACAGTCTATTAGACAGGAAACTGTCCTCTAAACCAAGTGAAGAGGAAGCAGACAAGATGGAGGGGAGGAATCCCAATTCTGAAGTCCAAAGTTTATATAAGTAAGGATGTAGAGAGCGCAGGACACCAAGTAACAGCAGTGACTGAGACGAAGGGAAACGGCAGCTCTACGTGAGCATCAGGCCAGCAAGTATGAGGTGAGGGTGAACAGGCTAGACCAACAACAGTCCCAAAGCATTTACATTTTCAGAGGCTGTGATTCTTACGCTCTCTTTACCTAAACACATCAGCCCCAGGAACCAAAGGCAGCCCAGGCTGCTGGTTTGAAGCCTTTGGAAGCCTGGAAATCATGAAAATTCTTCCATGAGCAGTTTTATCAGAGGAGACTCCATGCCTTCCTCCACGGAATAGACTAACATGCAATTCTAATGCAGTCCAGTCATTCCTCTGCTATGTTCCCAAGTTGTGGTTTTCTTAAAGGCATTCAAAATGTAGTGTTCTTAGGTTGTGTTGCTCGTGTGTGTGTGTGTGTTCCACATTTGTGTGTGCCTCAGCAGAAGAGTTCTTGCTTAACATGCAAGAGGCTCTGGGCACTTTCTTCAAGTTGCAAAAAAAAAAAAAAAAAACAGTGCTATCAAACCCCAAAGGCTGGCTGTTATCAATCAGACCTAGAGCAGGTCACTTGAAGGCAGAGTCAGGGAATGTCCCTCTAGACTAAGAAAGGAATTGGCTTAGTCAGTGTGGCCTGGCTTGTGTGCTGTGTTCCCTTCAAATCTCACACACCAAGCAGGAATTCTTACCTGCTGCTCACTCACAGTGCTCCCCACCCCCCACCCCCTCTGTAAAGGAATGCAAAGGCAGCGTGGACAGCAGTGAAGTGGTAAGCACAGCTGTGCCTTCAGCTTCCCCAGCATGGCCCCAGGAGTGCTAGAGTACATGGTTCCACATGCCCTTGTAGGACTGCAGTTCCATTAAGAAAGTGATTTCCATAAAACTGAGAAGAAAGAAATGATGGGAAACTCTAGTTTCCTGCAATGGGATCCACCTCTGGTCAACAGAACTGCAGTGTGGACGATCCTGGGGCCATCAAGATACTTGAGCCAGGTAAAAATCCCACTCACCAGCAGGAGGTCAGGCTGTGGTGAGAAAGGTCAGCCAGTGTGTCTGGACAGGCTGGTTAGAAGCAGACAGTCATTCTGGGCCAGTTTGTGGTTCTACTCAAAGTCAAATGCAGAGTCTGAGCCAGTCTCATAAACACGATCCAGGATAATACATCTGATATCAAGATCCCTATCAAGCTTTGGAGTTTCGGCCATTGTTCCATCAGTCTGACTAAATTCACCAGTGTGTCAAGCAGAGGAAAACTGGTTTCAACTCCTTTACCTCTGTATTAGCTATGGTACTGGGGTGGGGGATGGGTACAAGAGCTACAATCCCGACAAGATGAGGGTGGGAGGAAAATGAAAACCATCAGCACAAGTGACGATCCATTCAGAATATCATCATGGTCGAGTTCTTTTAGCTTTGGGATGCTAGGCACTGAACTTTTCAAAGCAATGAAAATGAACCATAGAGGGTATGAATCCAAAGTAGCCGTGGTTCAGAAAATACACAAAGTGGGATTTTGGAGGAGGTGAACTATTTGGAGAATTAAAGCATACTTTAGGCAATCATTTGGCCTCTAGGCTGGGGCCCTGCACCTGTGAGGTACCTCATAGGGAGGACCTTCATGAAGGGACTGCAGGACTAGAGGCATAATTTTCACAAGTCATTGATAATGATTCAAAAAGAGATAGTTTTAAATATTTGACCTGATTGAAAGTAAATACAGTTCTATACTGGAAACTAATCTTGTGCCTTCTCTGATAAAAAAAAAAAAAATACCAAGCTAGAACTAAACCACCAGGATTAAAGAGGCAACAGGAACTACAGCTAACTGTAACAACACTGTCCAGGAAATGAGCAGTCAGACACCAGCATACCAGTAAGCAGCTTAATAATCAAACATATAGAGTGCAAACAGTGGCAGCATACAACTGTGATCCAGTACTCCAGAGATGGAGGCAGGAGAATTGTGAGTTTGAGGCCAGCATGGGCAACATAGCAATAATATGTCTCAGAGTAAATAAAAGGCTAGGTAAAGAATTAAGAATTAAAATATATACACTTGGGTCCACCAATCCCACTTCTAGAAATATAACTTACAAACAGAAAACTGAATAGACTAAAGAGTTATTCCAGGAAATGGAGGAGAAGAGAAGCCTTGAAGAAAAAAAAGAAAACAAAACAAAAACCCCTTACCTTTCACATTACTGACCTTACCCTCCCCCACAAAAAAAGTAAAATAAAATTGCAAGCCAGATTCAAAATTCACAGGAAAATCATGTTAAAAAGAAAGCCACCTCACTTTGCTTAAACATATAAGATTACTATTTTAAAGGCTGGGGACAGAGCTCAGCAGTTAAGAGAACATATTTCTCTTTCAGAGCACCCCAGTTTAGTTCCCCAAACCCATACAGGGCAGCTAACAGCTATCTGTAACTCAAGCTCCATGGAAGATCTCATGCTCTTCTTTTGGCCTCCATAGGCAAGTGGATTCACAAGCTCACACCCACAGACAGATACACACACACACACACACACACACACACACACTAAAACTAATTAAATAAATGACCTTAAAATATTATTTTGATGGGCTAGGGATGTGGCTTAGACGGGACAGTGCTTGCCTAGCTTGTATGAAGCCTTGATTTAATGACCAACACCTGTAATTCATGTACCTTGGCGATGAAGGCAGGTGTGTCATAAGTTTAAAATCATTCTCAGCTACTTAGGGACTATGAGGTGAGAGTATGAGTCACCTAAGATCCTGTCTTTAAAGTGTGTGTGTGTATACATATTAATGCTCATTTACCATTTCTAGAAAAACCCAAATTTCATGCAAATAGAATACAAACCTGTGCTTTGATGATTTGCTAAGTATATTACATTTTCTTTATTTTTTGGCAAATCTCCATATAGCAATATCTAAAAGAGAAGACAAAAAGAATCATTACTTTGACAATGTAAAAAAAGAATGCGAAAGAAGACTGACAAGCACACACGGTAACTAGCTCTATCCATGACTAACAAACATCAGAGGTCTCTTGGGATCCCCGTGCACCATAAATAGCTCATGCTTATAAAGTACTTAAATGTGGAACAGGTTAATGATCAGAAAGTAAGACAGAATGATTGATAGCCCCGTGAAAAAATCCACAAGTTATTGATTGCTAAGAGTATATAAAGCTCTACAGTCTAGTGGAAGAGACAGACGTATACATAGTGTGATGGGACAGAACACAAATGTTATGAACATAACTCCACAGTTTAAAGATCTGTAAAATGGAGAGCTGCTGTATCCGTTGGGTATATTTTAGCAAATGAGATGAGAGGGTTTCTGAGCATAAGACCAAACGAAAGCCATGTGATGGAGACTTGTGTTAGTCCACTTGTGTATGGAACGAAACACAGGCTAAGGAGCTAGAGGACTACAACAGGGAAGAAGGAGGGTACTTGTGAGCTACAACATCAAGTCTGGGTCACTATAGCATGTGCCACTGCACCCTCCTGGCTACACCTTATTTTTAAACCAAGGGATGAAGACAGGTTTTTGCTGTAGTAGTTCTATTTTTAAGTGTTAGGTATTCGGTGATAAGAAAGGGACTTCAAGGGAACAAATGACTGCTGTTGCTCATCTGTTTTCTTCCTTTGGAGCACTTTTATTTAGTTGTTCTTATACCTTATCACTAAGGATTACAAAAACGTTAGTTAAGGCTTTGGAGACTACATGCAGGAAATGATTGCCTTCTTGATTGTGATCTCCTCTTCCACCTATGCCCGACAAGGCCCTCCTCCCTTACATATACAGCTGGAGCCATGGGTCCCTCCCTAAGTGCTCCCAGTCTGGTGGTTTAGACCCTGGGAGCTCTGGTTGGTTGGTATTGTTGCTCTCCCCATGGGCCCGCAAACCCTTTCAGCTCCTTCAGTCTTCTCTCTCACTCCTCCATTGGGAAACCCATGATCAGTTCAATGGTTAGCTGTGAGCATCCACCTCTGTATATGTCAGGCTCTGGCAGACCTCTAAGGAGACAGCTATATCAGGCTCCTGTCACCATGCACTTCCTGGCATCCACATCAGCATCTACCTTTGGTGACTCCACATGGTATGGGTACCTAGGTGGAACAGTTTCTGGACGCCCAGTGTGGAGGAATTCGAGGGTGGGGAGGTGGGAGTGGGGTGGTGGATGGGGGCACATCCTCATAGAAGCAGGAGGGGGGGATAGGATAGAGGGTTCCTGGGTGGGTGGGGGGGAGGATGGGGTAAGGGGATAATATCTGAAATGTAAATAAAATATCCAATAAAAAATATTTAAAAACAAGAAAAACTACTCACAAATACCATAACAATAACAAAAACAAAAGGGCGTTACTAAGCCCTCTGTAAAAATAATGCAGCTACATGATATAAAGTCCGGATGCCAAGGACTTACACAACGTTTCTGCTACTGCTCTAAGACAACTGCACAGTGAGTGTGCTCGCATGTGTCTAATTACTTCTAATGAAGCTTACAAACAACATAAATAAATCAAACAAGTAAGTAATCAATGGCTAGTTGATCTGTGCAGAGTTGATACTGGGATGGCAGCTCATGATCAATCACTCTTTGTGATAAAGTAGAGCTATTTAAAGACCACTGGGCACACTTTACAAGAATTACAGATACATGGCAGTGTTTCAGGTGTATGTATGTGTGTGTGTGTGTGTGTGTGTGTGTGTGTGTATATATATATATATATACATATATATATGTTATAAGTTATGTAAGGTTCTTTAGAGATGTGTCTAGCCTCCAAACTGAAGACAATACCCAAATCATTCAAAGATCCCTTTCAACGAGATGTAGTGATACAACCCTAAAATTCCTGACACTTGAGTGGCTAAAGCAGGAGGCCAGGCTGAGAGACATAGCAAGAGCCAGTTTCTCCCTTACCCCACCCCAGTCCCTCTCTCTCCATCTCCTATAGATAGTCTGGTTGAGATTACTAAAATGTATCTTTGAATGTCTGAATTACAAACAAGCTACAATAAGGCAGTTCGCAGGAATAAAGGACATAGTACTTTAAGGTTGTCCTTTATGAGACTGCTTCTAATTTAAAAATAAAACAAGCATAATGAGGGCTAGAGAAGAAACCACAGCAAGTGCTACCCAACTATGCTCATCAAGTAACCACAGCTGTGGCCTTCCACTCACTAGTAGAACACCTGCCTAGCATGCCAGAAGTCCTGGGTCACCATCTAGCAACACACACACACACACACACACACACACACACACACACACACACACACAAGTACCAATAGCATATTCAATATATGCAAGGATACTAGAAGTAAACAGAAGACGACCTGGCCCAGCACTGATTTTATACTTAGGTGAGCTAAGACATTAAAATAGCACTTTTGTCTTGAAATAAAAAACTTCATGATCGGTTAATGGCACAAGTTTCTTGTTCAAAACAAAACAAAATTTAAAGTCAGTTAATGGTAAGGGCAGCTTAAGATTCCACATCTCTACCTTTGAAACACCACAGTTGCCTACTATAGTTTCTGGACACAAGCAGGATTCTAAAGCTCTACAGAAAAAGCTGCTTCTTAGGTAGTCCTGTTTCTACCAAAGAATTTCTCTCCTCTTAAAGGAAAAAACCAAGGCACACAATGATGCAATGTTCAACAGAGATAAACAGTGCGACAAATATACAGACCCTGTTTCATAGCTCTGCACTGCCTAGGAGACCCACTTCTAAACAACCAAGTCCCCAACTGTTTACAAACATATCTTCAATGGTGTCCAGATAAACAAGTGACTTCAACTAGGGAGGAGAATGGAGAAGTGCCATTCAAACACTACTTGAAAAGGAACAAAAGCAGCATCCAGGACTTAACTCATGAAGCTGAGAACGCACCTCTGTCGATAAGAAGGCTTTTCCAGTGTGCAGAAGGCACCTGCTCACTGAGTACACACACACAGAGTAATACACACACACTGTGTATGTGTGTACATGCACATACAAGTGCATGTCCTGTAAGCTCAGCACCAGCAAGCTGGTGGCAGAACTGTCAGAAACACCAAGGTCCTCCTAGGCTTTATATACACTGATTTGAAAGCCATCCTGGGATATAAGAAAGCCCTCCTCTCAAGCAAACAAAACCACCCAGAATTTAATTCATATCCCTCTATGTACTAATGTATAATGTACAAGAGACTCACGTGTGTGTGTGTGTGTGTGTGTATGCACACGTATATTTAAAAAAAAAAACTTTTGCCCATACACACAATATCTTGCTGAAAGAGTTGCTGTTTCCAGTTGAAATGTGAAGAGGCCAAGAAGCGTTATCTCAGAGGAGCTATCTGTGCAAGGACCTCTTGTATTTCATTTAAACCATAACTGCTTGGAATCTCTAGAAATAAACAGTAAACAATCAGACTACAGAGCAGTCCTACCTGTGTAAAACTACCAACGGTCTGAAAGCACATTACAAGTACTTTGAATATGCATTAATAAATCAAGAAAAGAATGCAAATAGTATTTATGTATCTAATATACATCATTTTAAACATTCTTCATTTCTAAAGTTCCAAGAATGAATAAGCACTTCCATCCAAAATAATTCAAATTTCTTCGGTCCTTTCAAGTATAAAGGTTATGTATTTGGTTTTACATTTGTTAATATGAAGGGGAAGAGAATATTTTAATTTAAATATTTACTTCTAATTACGCGTCTCCATGTGTGCACATGCACATACACTGTGTGTGTGTGTGTGTGTGTGTGTGTACATGCACATACAAGTGCATGTCCTGTTGGGAGTTTAGAGAAGGGCATCAAATCCCCCAGAGGGAGCTATGGTTACAGGTGCTTCTGAGCTGCTCCATAAGGGTTCTAGAAAGTGAACTCTGATCCTCTGCAAAAGAGCTATGTATTCCTAACCACCAAGCCATCTACATAGCCCCAAAAGTTTTCATCTAAAAGATAGAAATTTTAGGTGAGGTAGGGGCTTGGGGGTGGGAAGGAAGGGTGGAACACATCTTAAATCTCAGTACTTAGGAAGTGGGGCCAGGCAGATCTCTCAGTTCAAGGCCAGCCTGGTCTATAGAGTAAGTCCCAGGACTGCCAGGGCTACACAGAAGAATCCTGTCTTGAAAAACCAAATAAATAATAGAGATAGATAGATAGATAGATAGATAGATAGATAGATAGATAGATAGACAGATAGATAGACAGACAGATAGATACACACACACAGACATATGATGGAGCTTGTTAGGGGTGGGGTTCAGAGAGTAACGCATTTGCCATAGCATACAAACTAGAATCTCGATCCCCAGCACTCACATGTATGCAAGGCAGGTATGGTAGGTGGCCTGCTGTACAATCTGAGCTTTAGGGAAGTGTAGACAGGGATCCCTAGAGCAAGCCAGCTAGTTACACAATCAGCCAATCAGTGAGCTCTGGGTTCGAGTGAGAGACCTTGCCTCAATATAAAAGGTGAAGAGCAATACAGGAAGACATCTGTTTTGCTTGCATGTATATCTGTACACCGCATGCTTGCCTGGGGCCTGCACAAATCAGAAAACAGCATCAGATCCCCAGGAACTACAGACATAGATGGTTGTAAACCACTATGTGGCTCCTGGGAATCCAACCTGGGTCCCTCTGGAAAAGCAGCCTGAGCCATCTCCTCAGTCCCAGTTGCTGTTATTTTATTAGCAAGTATATAACTAATTACATGGTTGTAGTGTTTTCAAAGTTTAAAAAGCTAAGAAGGCAGGGGTAGCTTACATTTGTTAATCCCAGCACTTGGGAAGCTATGGCAAAAGGATTATGTAAATGCAAGGCCACTCTGGGCTTCTACAGTGAGTTACAGGCCAGCTGATCTGCAGAGTGGGGTTGAGGAATTTTTTTTAAGGGTTAAGAATTTACAAAC